AGCTGAAGCGAGCAGGAAGCTTGCTTGCTCCAGTGATGGAGGAAGCCAAACTTCTCCCGTGCCGCGGCCTGGCTGTGAGCTCCACTCTAAGCAACAAAGTTGCAATTATAGAAGGTAAATAAATGCCAGAATAAAAAAAGAAAAAATGGAGAAGCTGGGAGCTTCCATCATTGACGGGCTTGGCCAGCCTGAAAACAGCCCTCAGCCCCTCACCCAGACTGGCCGGGCACCCCAGTGGGGGCCCCCACCCTGAAGGGCAAACCAGTCAGCCCCCACCCGTGCACCAGGCCTCTAGCCTATATAATAAACGGGTAATATGCAAATTGACCCTAACAGCAGAACGACTGAGAATGACTGGTCACTATGACACACACTGACCACCAGGGGGCAGACGCTGAATGCAGGAGCTGCCCGCTGGTGGTCAGTACATTGCCACAGGGGGAGCTCTGCTCAGCCACAAGCCAGACTGATGGCTGCCAGCACAGCAGTGGTGGTGGGAGCCTCTCCTGCCTCCTCAGCAGTGCTAAGGATGTCCGACTGCAGCTTCGGCCTGCTCCTCGCTGGCAAGTGGACATCCCCCGAGGGCTCCCGGGCTGCCAGAGGTATGTCTGATTGCCAGCTTAGGCCCAATCCCCCGGGGAGTGGGCCTAAGCCAGCAGGTGGTCATCCTCTGAGTGGTCCCAGACTGCGAGAGGGCGCAGGCTGGGCTGAGGGACAAATTTTTGTGCACCGGGCCTCTAGTTTATTAAATAATGGCATAGATTTATATATTGAAGCTGGAGGACAACGGACACACCTATTCAGTTAAAAGAGGAGGATACTACTAATAAATATTAGTGACTTGTAATGGGTTTCTAGAATTCAATTTTTTTATTTTTTATTTTTTTTAAATATATTTTATTGATTTTTTACAGAGAAGAAGGGAGAGGGACAGAGAGTCAGAAACATCGATGAGAGAGAAACATCGATCGGCTGCCTTCTGCATGCCCCGCCGTGGGGATGTGCCCACAACCAAGGTACATGCCCTTGACCGGAATCGAACCTGGGACCCTTGAGTTCGCAGGCCGACGCTCTATCCACTGAGCCAAACCGGTTCGGCAAGAATTCAATTTTTTAAAATATATTTTTATTGACTTCAGAGCAGGAAGGAGAGGGAGAAAGATAAAAATATCAATGATGAGAGAATCATTGGCTGCCTCCTGCATCACATTACTGAGGATCAAGCCCACAACCTAAGCATGTGCCCTGACTAGGAATCAAACCATGACCTCCTGGTTCATAGATCAAAGCTCAACCATGGAACCATGCTGGCCAGGCTAGAATTCAATTATTTTTAAGCCAATTAATTAAAATAGATTTCTCCCCTGTAGTTACTGTCTAACTAGATGAACTAATAAGCAATACATAATCTACATATCCTATCTAATAATAGACAAACATGGTAATTAACCATACCTCTAACACACTTCCCATTGGCTAACCAGGGCAATATGCAAATTAACTGCCAACCAAGATGGCGGCCGTCAGCCAGGCAGCTGAAGCAAACAGGAGGCTTGCTTGCTCCCGTGAAGGAGGAAGCCAAGGTTCCCCACCTGCCGCTGCTGAGCT